TAAGTAAAACAATCCTTGAAGTACATATATTCATTTAATTGTATTCTCATTTATTTTTTAGGTACCTCGCTTATGGAACACCTTTTGAGATCATAGCCTCGATGCATAAATTAGGGAAAAYCACAGTGCGGAATATCGTACTTGAAACGTGTGAAATATTTTGGTTACACCTGTGCCCGATATACCTTAGCGAGCCAACTACCGCACAATATAAAGACATTGCTGCAGATTATTTAAAACTGTGGAATATACCAAACTGTGTCGGAGCAATTGACGGGAAGCATATAGCTATTATTCGTCCACAAAATTCAGGCTCGTTATTTTATAACTATAAAATGTTTTATAGTATAGTTTTAATGGCATCCTGCGACGCTAGGTATACGTTCACCTCTGCCAGCATTGGTAGCTATGGCGGACAAAGTGACGGAGGTATTTTAAAAGATTTGCAATATTCCAATATTTACTTATTTTATTTTATTTCAAGGTATCTTTCAGCAAACTAAATTTGGTCAAGCACTCTTGGAAAACAAATTGCCACTACCACCAAGAGCTCCATTATGGAATGAATCCTCAACAGATTTTCCACATTTTTTTGTGGCCGACGCAGCGTTCCCATTGAAGAAAAACTTAATGCGACCTTACCCCGGTGCACAGCTGCCACGAAACAAAGCACTTTTCAATTACCGGTTATCCCGGGCTCGTAGAGTAATCGAAAATAGCTTTGGTATTTTAACTGCTCGATGGCGTGTTCTACGAAAGGTAATAAACTTTAGCCCAAAGAACTGCGAAACAATTGTGTTAACCTGCTTGGTTCTTCACAATTTTGTAATGTTGAATGACCATGATCGTTGGTATTGTCCAGATACATTTATAGACACAGACACCGCAGACCATGTAATATTGGAGGGATAATGGCGTGAAGATTTAGAGAGTGTTGGAGGTGAATTACATTCAATAAGTACAACTCGACGCAATGCATCTAGTTTCGCATTCCGTGTAAGGGATTTTTTGCCAGACTATTTTATAAATCAGGGAGCGGTTTCATTTCAAGAAGATCGTATTTAGTGTATAGCAATGTTTGTGTATTTTATGCATTTGAAATATATATGTATATATTTTTATGTATAAAATTGTAATCTAAGTACCTTTATACTATACTTTTGTTACGTTTTTTG